AAGAAAGTAGTCCAAGAAGATTTAGCGTGTGGCAATTTGCGGGACGTTATGTTACTTTTCTATAGTAATTGTGATTTCACACGAGAGTTTACGAAAATGTATTATCTCTAGAGACAGCTATTTCCCGTCACACATTTATCGCTATTCGAATGAAATACAAGGGCCGTAGGAAATTACATTGACCCTTTCAGTGACAAGAATACTCGGGCTTATCCGTTAAAACAATAATTTATTTCTAAATTTAATAAATCAATATTTCTTTTACAAATATCTTCGAATCTTGACAATTAGCACTCGAGTTTGTGCGAATACATTGTATTTTGCGTATAAAGAGAGGGATGAGTTTGATGTTACCACATAACGTCAGGCTATGGAAGAGTTGACTGTCCATTCAGTTATTAGCCGTAAAAGTGAAAAGAGTGCTTCAATATACGCCAGATATTATATATTTTTGTCAATTAAGCGGCATAATAGCAGCATAATAAGTAGTTGTCGCACAAAACGACAACAATGCATTCTCGCAAATGCATTTGGCCTTATCTGCGCTTGTGCAATAAAGTGCCAGTTATTAAATTACGATATAGCCGAAGCGGAATGATATTCATAAATACGGCGGGGCATATAAAAAGTCCGGACGAGTTTAAAGCGTTTAATTATGAGCGCGACGACGCGCCCCGCCCGGATTTACAGCCCTTGCACGCGGTATGATTCGTCTGGCGTGACCAAACGTTTTTACGGCCGATGAAAACGAGAGTGGGTCTTATATACACGCAGACACACATTTTCTGTTCTTTCCCGATCTTTTAAAAGATTCACCCTCCACGATAATCTAGGGAAAACATCCTCGATCAGAAAAACAATGATGAACGGGGAGAAAAGTGGCAATCTTAGTTTACGGCACATTTACGCACGGTTTATAATATTATAGAATCTGAATGGAAAAAAGAACCTTGGGGATAAAAAAGTGGTGAGCGCAAAAAGTGGTTGTTCGCATAGGGGTTGCAAAGACGCTTGCAGAGGTGGCGCCTGCGACGGTTTATGACTAGTAGAAACGGTCGGCTATAATTGGACGTGAAAATATATCATATCTGACAAAAGTGCACATGTGTAAAGAAAACTAGAATACAAGATTGTTTTTGCAAGTTTCTTGTACAATTCATATCATACCTTTAATATGTTGCTTGAAATATGTTGACTCCCGCTCTGAAATTAATTTATTTAATATATGCGAAATGTACAGGACCGAGAAGTAAAGGAAAAAGATACACTTTCCACGCAATTCGCATTTAAAAGTTAATTGAATCTCTTCCCTCTTCCGATTTACATACCGGAAGAACCACTGGATGTAGTGGAGACGGGGATAATGGCAATGCAGGCCGATTTTCAGGTAATGTACATCATCCTTATTTGCGACGGTAGCTTTTTGTCAATTAATCTGGAGTTATCAGAAACGGTGGCAGGGCTTTGCCGTCCCCTCCCCCTCCTCCTCCCCCCTCGTGTTACCGGGGAGGAAACGTAAAGGGGTGAAGTGTTGGTCATTTGTATAACGCCAGCGGAATGGGTATGTATACGGGCGTTATCGCGCCAGTGGAGGAATGGAGGGAGGTAGTGATGGGACCAAACTAATATTTACTCTCGATTCTCGAGCAAACCAAGAGAAGATGTTCGTGTAAACTACTATCAATATTAACTTCCAAATCGCGTACACTTAATTGATATAGTTATATTAGTTTTGTGTCCGTGTTCTACATTTAAAATAATAATCTGTATGTGACGCGTAGAATATTTATAGAATTCACTACATTTCTACCCTCATTGTGGGAAATTAAATATTAATTTCAATCTTTAAAGAAATTGTTTTATAACAGATTGTATTTACTTAATAATAACAATTATACATTGTCAATCGTCATTTATTACTAATTTTATATCAACATTTATATTACAATACAAAAATAACAATCATTAGTAAATATTTAAACACTTTAAGCAATAAATATATTGTTAAATCAAATTCTACTACAGACAAATGATGAAATAAATTTGTTTTCGACAATTCGACCGTATTCTCCAATGCAATATAACGTATTCTCTGTTTTCTTTATTGTAACATTTTGATCAATCATTTCCAAACGGAAACGTTATATACCTGTCAGGCGGTGACAGGTGAAGATTGTGCGTGAGAATGGTAAACGAGCGATCAGTGGTGAACGAGATTGAAAGAGGATACCACCGGCTATTGGGGAGGACGTTGTTTATGCGAAACGGTCAGTCCAACGAGTTACGATGTCAGCGGGTTGTTCTGGGTAGATTCGTTTGATAATTTGATAGCCATCCGCGTTTCAAGCCTCTCGCAATCGTTCCTACGCTCACCGTGAATTTACTTTCGCAGCGCACGCAGGTTCATCCAATTAAATTTATCAGATTGCACGCGTCCGAGGGTCAAAAGAGAGAACGGTACGCGATGATTGGCAGGCGTTTGTCTTTTTTGGGTCACGTGAGGACGTAATTTTTTATTTACAATTGGCATATGGCAGTGAAACAAAATGGATGGAAGTGGAACACAATGGTGGCGAAATATAGCAGCGGATTGAAATAAACGTTTAGATTCGCCGAGTTTGCTAATTTGCTTTAAATGGGATTTTGTTACTTCATCGTTTACGGTATAGAAAAATTGTTCTTTCTTTTCGAATTTTGTGAAAATATTGAACAAACTTACAAAAACTAGTGCGTCCAGCATCAACAAATTTCATTACGATTGTTACATTTGTGACGACTGTTTTGAATAAAACAGTGAAAATAATGTGGATTGCAAAATATAATTAAAACAAGTGCTAAAGTCTCCAGGAGGAACAGGAAATTATACGTTTGCATCATTCGCTTTTCTTTTTTGTCATTAACAGCTGCAGTCGGCCAACCTCTATTATAAACTTTCCTTTCGAATCAATCCCTGTCTATCGCCAATAAGTATCGTCGTTCGGTCTGATGATGATTGATGATGATGGAGAGCATACTAACCGTTCTGAAGGTATATTAACGAGAGAACGATCTGTATAGATGGACAGCCATTTGAATGACGTTCATTTGGGAAGTTCGAAGAGTTTACGCAATATACGTGTTCAGAGTTACGTAGCAGACGAGAACATCGGAAAGCCAGAAAATCGCATTCTTATCCGCGTAATCTAGAAATGAAAACAGAGATGAAAACAGAGTGCGATACGTCAAAATATGTTGAGAATACTAAAATTTACGTAATTAAAATAAGAGATAATAACAATAATAATAATTTCTTATATATATATATATATATATATATATGTGTGAAATAAAACATTAAATGCCACTAATAAATTACACATGAAATGACGTGTATGGTTAACACACAATTTGAATAATGTGCACTTAATAATTTCCCAAGATCGTTTGAAAGTTTGGCTTTTGCGCGTGACCCCCGTAACAGGCGGCACTGAGCTACGTGACACGCATATTTGAAATAAATTTGATGGGCTGCGAGGGAGGAATGTATGCGAATCGAATTTGTCCTATTCGCTATTCGCATACGCGAAGCATTATGTATGCGAACGCGAATCGGGCTTAAGAAGAACTCATCCTTACACTTGCGCGTCATCACCTTGCAAGTTGTACCGCAAGTAGATTTTAAAATTTTTATTTCATTCAGTAATCAGTAACTAAATATTATGTTTTATTTCTTTACATCTGGCAAATATAAATTTATACGCTTGTAAATGCACAAAGAAACAAAATATAGAATATAAAATACATGTAGAATGTGGAATATAGAATATAGAATTAGAATACACGTAAACAAAAGTTTATTATAAAAGATTTTGCTTTAATTAATGGCTGTAGTTAAACATGGTTTTCTTAATCATGGCAGAGAAATGTAGTTACATATGTGAAAGAACCTCTGATTCTGAAAACATACACGCGAGTATAACCGCCCATAATAGAAATGCATAAGCCTCTACTTCAATTGGTCAAAACAAATTTTTTTAAGCAGCCAAACAATCTCTTTTATTGCAAAGTCAATAAATCCCACAGGTAAAACAACATAAAAACATGTCATCGATTAAACAGAAATCAGTTGTCTGGTGCTGGTTTTTTTTTACGTATTACATGCAATATTTTCTGTTGAAGATTTTTTAGTAAATAAAATTGTCGACGGACTCATTCTCCATAAAATACACGTCATTTGCTGTACTCGTGTAATGTCTTTTACCATTACGAAGACGAGCATACATTGTCGCTAAAGTACGCTAGATTATTCTTCATAGCGCATGATGAGGTGGGTGGTGGGCAGAATTCTATGGAGGTACAAACGAGCATATACAATGAAGCAAAGTGCATAGCGATGTTCCATAAGATATTCTACCGAAATGTCGAAGAGCGTATTACGCTTAAGAAATGAGCTGAGCTTGCTCGCTCGGCGCCAGTTCGCTACTTGCCAGTTATAATGCACTTGGATTCTGGTATCTTGTAAGTAGTACATCCAGCAGTCGCTCGCAGCAGATTCGGAGTTGTGCTCTCGCGGGAGACGTCGGCGAGCGCTTGGTTTCCTGTCCAGAATTCGCATACAAGTTTCACAGAAGATAGAACACGCCCATTGCCTCCCCGCGACGCGCAACGCAATACTACAAGCGTGATTAAGTCGCAAACACGTAGTATTTTTGCCAAATTCGTATTTTAACCACTCCGTATAATTGTTTACAATAATTTGTTTGATTGTCGTAGCTTTTACAGATAAAAGAGTAGAGCATATCCGCATGTACTTTTTTCTTTTTTCTTTTTTTCTTCTTTACTACTTTTTTTACTACTTTTAATATACATTCAAAAATAATGATAATTCAGATAAATAGAAGCGAGATAAAAACGAAAATTGACTTTATGTAACAGCAATATTTCTGAATCTAAGTGAAAAGCGCGCGGGTTAAACATTATTGTTAAGGATCATGTTTGTCAGATTGTCATTCTTTTTTCAGCGCCAGCACACATACACGGAACGTCCAAGCAAGATATGCAGTGGCACGCAAACGATGCTAATAACAATTCGACGGAAGATCTGCCTGTTTTCGAGCCGACAGCAACAAATGTTAGTGCGTTCATAGGGCAAACTCTATATCTGCCGTGCCGCGTGCGAAAATTGGGCGACAAAGTAGTAAGTCTTTTTTTTATTTCATTTACTTTTTTATTATAACGATTTATCAGAAATATGATTTTTCTTGCAAGCAAAAATCCTCGTGTATTCATTGCTTCAATTAAATTTATACACATAAAGCGGTATATATAACGATATATGTTATCACACGTAATATGTGTAAAATATTGAAAGATTACGGTCACATACTCGTATTTTAGTAATAAATATGTGATTATATTATATATACGGTGCTTCCACAAGTAATAAAGTATTAACGACAAATCGTGGATAATGAAAACTACGTATAATTATAAAATAAAACGAATGCACACGAAAGCTGATATTTCACCAGCTTTATGTCGAGTAAGTACGCTGCATTTTGCACTTCCAGATTTTATCGCTTATATTAAAAGTTACATTGTGAGGATACCACGAAACTACCAATAAGAATTTGACATCAAAATTACTGTTTCAATTGCGTTTCTTTTTCAACGATAATAAAGTGTAACGTTATGCATATTACAGTACTTGAAAATAATTCTTTAGCTGAAAAGTTATATCACTGAATAAAAAATAACAAAGTATATAAAGCATGAGTTATAAAGACTATGCAAGACTTATGTAATTGCATCTCTAATTATTCACTTTAATATGACAAAAATACTTTTGATGCAATAAACTATATAATATTATAGTAAAAATTACAAATTTGATCTTTGAAATAATATTGAAACTTTATTTTATTTGTTAAAAATAATATATGTATAATAGTAAAATATGATATAATAATTGTACTGCATTAGATAAATTGAAATGTTCAATACGTTAATTATGTATCTGAAGGCAGATCATATGGTTATATGACGAATGAAACTACATTTGTCATAACATATATCATTCTTGGACAATTGACAAAGATCGCGCGTATACGTATATCATTATTAATTGCGAACAAGCGCCGACCGGCCGATAGCAATTAATCTGAAAATTTACCGGAGACGGTTTCGATTCAAACAGGTTGCTTCCAGTACCCTTATCTACACACAAGGGAGAGCCTATGTAATTAATACAGAGGCATGACAAATTGTCGCTTCCGTAGTAGCAGACCGCCAATAAATATCGCGGTTGCGATTAGAGCGCACCCTGCGCGTAAATGTAGACATGGGGGTGGCGTCACAGCGCGTAGGAAATGGCATGTCTGCGACAATCTATCATGGGGACACAAACATCGGTGTGTTTCCTTCGAAGGCGAATCTCTCTGATGCGTATCTCATAGCGTTGACTAAGCGCGGCATAGATTTAACGAAGACGTATGAACCCCCCTCTACCCTTTCCTGCTCATCTCAACGAAGCTTTTCTTTAGCCAAGTATCTTGCGCTCAGCGTTACTTGTCGGCTTCCATCTCATTTCCAAGCATTCGTTGTATCGTTAGAGTTTTCAATGTCCTGTGTGACTTTACAATAAAATAACACTGAGCAGAACTTGTCGATATGAAATATTGTTGAAAAATATTCATATTGGTTAAATTTCCGTTGTACTTTTATTGGAAACGTTTTGCTTTATTTTTATTTAAATTGATGTGTTCTCAAATCTGCGAATTTTTTTTACGTATAATAAGGGTTCCAACTGTATATGTCTTTTTGCATTCCGATTTATTTGAAGAAAAGTAGATTAGTAATCAAATTTTTAATGTACAAAACTACAATTTTAATAGCTATTGAAATTTAGAACAAAACATTAAAAGCAATGCGCAATTGCAATAGGGTGGGAGTAAAAAGCAAGCGAAAACTTGCAAATTCGTACCGTGGGAAAGAATGAAAAAGGAAAGCTGAGAATTGCTAAAGCGTTTACATCCAAGTACGAACACTTTATAACTTACCTACCTAAATTCTTCGCTCCGAGGAACACGCGCAAATAGAATCTTTCGAAAATTCCTGCGTCCGCCATGCGAGAACTGTAGTCTGCAGGTTGCCAAGGCGCCGAGAACACAGTTTCGCGGTAATAAGAACGCAAAGGAAGGTCGATGGCGAAAATTCACATTCGAAGCGTACATGTGAATTTTCTGGACGACTCAGCTGCGATTCACGATAGATAATGGCCGTAATCATTCCGCGTGGAGCGTGATTCGTCGCGCCGATGAGTCGACGATCGTGTCCAGTATTTGTCGGTTCGCGCAGACATCCGTTGGATTAAAGAGCACTCGGTTTGATGTCAACCGACAATCACTCTGGGAAGCGAACATTATGCTATTTGCAATGCATTTTTCCCTACGAACGCTATTTTTCGACATAGCCGTTAAATTTTTGCGATCCACTTTTCGCGCTTTTCCGAATTTTCTCTCCTACTTTGGACAGGTTTCTTTCTGCTTCTACGCGGGCTTTATTGTTATCGAGCACATCCGGCGGTAAGCATATGCAACTAGCGGATGAATGCGGTTTTTTTAGCGGGGTTTTGCCTAGCTTTTTCCGCTCGGCTCGGGAAAAGAAACATCCGGAATTGATGGACGTAATTGTCTAACCGTTGACGCTTTTACAACGCTTGATTTATGTTCTCATTCATGACAAAATTGGCATCAAACTGAATGGTCTGCAACAATTTCTCTCTTTGTTGTAACAAGTTTTGTCAATTTTATATCGCTTATAATTTAAGATAGAAAAAAATTTAATAGTTATTCAATATAAAATACTAGCTAAAAAACTGTTTATAAGCATTTATTAAATCAATTATATGCTATTATGACATCGATTGAAAATTATTCCCACTGATTTACTTGGATTAGGTTAGCAATTAATATAGCTTATTTCCGTTGTATTTGATACACACAATAATAGAAAAGAAAATGCATTATTTTTTTCTATATTAAAATTTTTCTATGAAAATTGATCCATCTATCACATTCCAATTATAAAATATCTTTTTGTAAAATTTTAATAGTAATTATTTTGCTTCCGGAAATAAGTTCCATCAAGATTTTCAATAAATGATCATTTATTTTACTATACCTTTCCTACAACTAAGGGATGGAAGCGTGTGTTTTTTGCTAAAAGAGAGTTTCATTTTGATACTGCTATCCAACCGTAAAAATTTAAACTGAAGATTGATCGTACGTATCAAACGTGGTTCAACGTGCAATATTTCGAAAGCGTACTCGTGTCTAACATAGATTTTATTGGAAATGGACGAATATATAGATTTCTTTAATAGCTGGGATACAGAATTGCTCGGCGCGCATTTTCTCGAAGCACGGCCGGATGCATTTTTAGTTCACGTTCACCAGGTTTTTCCAATCTTTTCCACATTTTTCTTCCTTCCACTTATCTGTTTTCTTTTTTTTCTTCTGGCGATCCCCCTTTAATTAAATATCGATCTACGCAGGGACGGTCAGCGGCAATGCGTCGATTACGGCAAGTTTTCTCGAATTAAGTCGGAAAATCAAATGGAGTTTAAGAAGAAAATAATTGCAAGAGATTAGTCGCATTTATTTTAGTAAAATGCAGATTGCATTTTAAACAGAAATCAATGAGGTTCTAATGAAATTTGATTGTCTTCTCATTAAGGTCGGATTATAGTTAAGATTCTTGAGAAAGTATGAATGAAGAAACGGACTATATCAAAAAAGTTATTTCCCGGCCCTTACTAATTCTACAAATTCTACATATTCCGCCAATATTAGAAAAGAAGTATTCGTTAAAAAATGCGGAAATATGTATTAATCGTGATAATGATATCGTGATAATTGTGATAATCGTATAAATGATATTTTCTCTCTTTATTTGAGTTAAGACGTTGTCTTTGAATTAAGCAGTAAATGTGTATTTTTTTGCAATTAAATAATTATCTCTTTCAAAGTAATTTGTAATGAAATAATTATGATAATCATATTGGAATGTTAAACTTTTATATTGATTGTTTAACAATGCAGAATATTTAATTATTTACTTTACTCTATATTATTAACTTCTCCTCATCACTACGTATAATACAGTAAAGTTTAATAATTATACATTTATTGGTTTGATTAAAAATTTCTGCAGGATCGCGCAGGATACTTTTCCCAATAATGCATGAAAAGCCAATAGTTTAATGTCTGAATGAATGCTTATTTCTTGAGCGCTTTACATGATGTGATTGTCTTGATAACTTTATGGATATTTAATCAAAGATGAACCCCCCCGTAAAAAAATACAGAATCACATGAAAGGAAAATTCAGCGATGATAACACTGGTCGTCTTAGCTCATGTCCCTTTTCACTCTATGTGCAACAAAATGCATAGCTCGATATTCAATTCTATATAAAAGGTCAATGTATACATATCTGTTGCCCGCGTTAGGAAATCGGAACTTGATCCCCATCGAAATATCACTTTACGATTCCTTCGAGCGGGAATATCGAATGGGTCGAGATGCGAATGTAAGTCAAGTTAGCAGTGAACGACCATGCTGTGTGTATTGTATTCCTTTTCCATAACGTTTCCTAAGAATCTTACCCCTTACTTATTCCAGTGAAGATGAGTTATGAAAGGTACAGTTCTCGCGATTCTTCCGCGTGAAGGGAATCCAATGAATGTCGAGATAAGATAATGCAACGTAAAGTGCTGCCCAAATGCAATAGACGTTCTCTTTGTGCCACGTCTTGCTAAGCATTACTCAATTTAGAGGAAAATCTTTTGTATATTTCCTATTAAGAGTTAAAGTGATCATTCCGAAGGACAAATTAACTTTCTTACTACTAAAGTTTCCATAAATCGACATTAAGAGAGAGAATGTGGTTTTTCAAATGTAATTACGGAGACTGAACTGTAATCGAAAGATTTTTTGCAGTCAAAAGAGGAATAAAAATAAACTGGAATATAATAGTGTAAATTTTACACAATATTGCATATTGGCATATTGCAGGTAATCTACTTCCAATTCGATTTGAGATCGATCGTATATTTTATTCTTTTTTACTATTGCTCGGACTTTTGATTACGATGAATATTTAATTATTAATATGCACAATTTTTTGAGAATTGAA